GCTACCGGCTTGGTGCATTGGGCCCTGTCTTTGGGCCTTTTGCACTCCGCTGTCGCGTGATCTTCCAGGCACTTGACGCACCTAGGGCGTGCGAAGCAATTCCTGGCGGAATGTCCATATAGTTGGCAGCGGTGGCATTGAGACAACCCACTTCTACGGTGAGGTGGTTTTATCGTAATCCCGGAAAGCCCGCAGAGAGATGGCATCTTAAAGATGCCCTTCCCTGCGGGGATGTCATCTAGCGACACGATTATCATGTCGTAGACGAGATAGGTGCGGCCTTTAACCATCCGGTGGACTTCGTGCACCGGATAATTTTGGCGGAGGAGGGAGTCTTTAATCTCCGAGGGGGAGAGCTCCTTGGGGACGTTACGGATGATTACACGCAGTAGTCTTATCATCTGGGAGTGTGTAAGTGTGAAAGGATACTTCCCTTTCACGGAGGAGCCTTGATAGGGCTCTGTGGTCACTAGAGGTGGCCACTGACACTTTTATGCCCTGTTGGGTACTGCGGGCGGAGTGATATGTGATGCGACGTTCGTTGCACCACATAGTGATGTTGGTCCATTTGGACTTGTCAAATCAAATCAAATCAAAGTTTATTTGCTATGAATGTACGAGGGGTGATCAATAAGTGATGATAATCAATATGAAACAGAACTATTAGATTAAAAAAAGTATTTTATTTTTCAACATAGTCTCCTTGCAAGTTAATACATTTAGTGTATCTTTTTTCTAAGCCCATGATTCCCTTAGAAAAAAATTCTTTGTCTTGACCCTCCCAAAATGCCTATACCGCGGCCATCACTTCACTATTGTCCTCAAATTTGTTGCCCCGGAGGTGTTCTTTGAGCCGAGGAAAGAGGTAGAAGTCACTGGGAGCTAGATCTGGCGAATAGGGAGGGTGTTCGAGCAGTTCAAACCCCGTTTCTTCAATGGCAGCCATCGCAACTGCGGCTTTGTGAGCCGGGGCGTTGTGTTGGTGAAACAGCACTCCAGCGCGCAGTTTACCGCGTCTTTTTGACTTAATAGCTTCTCGCAATCTTCTTATTTGGCCTGCGTAGTAAGAGCCTGTTATAGTGGCCCCCTTTTCCAAATATTCCACCATAATAATTCCTTCTGCATCCCAGAAAACAGACGCCATAACCCTTCCCGCTGAACTTGACACTTTGAATTTCTTCGGCGTTGGTGAGGAAGCTCGTTTCCAAGTCATTGATTGTTGTTTGGTTTCGGGATCAAAGTGGTGGATCCAGGTCTCGTCCATGGTCACAAAACGCGACAAAAAAAATTCTTTATCGGCCTGGAACTTTTGAAGATTCACCCTCGAAATGTCGACTCGTTTCTTTTTTTGCTCGTCGGTTAACATTCTCGGTACCCAACGCGCAGAGACCTTTTTCATATGCATTTTGTTGACAATGATTTTTTGAACGCTGCCATAGGAGATCCCTGTGACCTCAGCTACATGCCTTACGGTCACCCTTCGATCGGCCAACACGATATCTTCCACTTTTTTGAAGTTTTCTCCAGTAAGGGACGTGGAAGGGCGTCCCTCGCGATGTTCATCTTCAGTGGAGGTTCTGCCCAGCTTCCTTTCCTTTTTCCAGCAAATTCCTTTGCCCAGCGTGCGACTGGGTGGGGGGACAGCCGACATCGGTTTGTCGGTCGGTCTGTCCTCGTCAGTTTTGGGGGCCTTGTTTGGGCCCTACTTGTTTTTCCGACTGCGTTTTCTCGAAGAGACAACTGTGTAGTCTGAGCTACACAAGCTGTCCGATTGAGAGCCTTCGCTTGCGGACTCTTCGCTACTTGTAGCTGTTGTGTCCATCGCGTTCGATGGACAGGCAACCCTATCACTAACATTATCGGGCGAGGCGGGGATTTTATCGCCATAGCGGTGTTTTAAAAAGGCGTAGACCTCCTTATTAGAGTTGCCGCGAATACTCGCTATTATTCGGTATTCGGCATTACTCGTAATTTTTTTGATATTCGTCGAATACCGAATAATAGCTAGTATTATTCGGCATTCGGCGAATAGTCGTCTAAAATAAACTTTTAATGAACAAAAAAACTAATAAGTTAAAAATAAACATTTTTTTAATTATTTTCCCTATTAAAACAATACAAAATATCAATTATTATCTGTAATATGTGCCTGTGCCTATCATATTCATGAAATTAAATTAGTTAGGCTTTTTAATTAATATTTAAAATCTAACAGAGGCAGATTGTGGTGCAAAAAAACATTTTTTTCTGCACGTTCGGGAGCAAGTCGGTTTCGTTTTTCCTCGTAAATTAAACCTGCCTCGGAAAATAGTCTTTCTGAAGAAACAGAGCTTGCTGGTGTGATTAAGTATCGTTTAGCAAGCTTACTTAAAATAGGAAATCTATTCTTATTGGCACTCAAAGTCCACCATTCATATGGGTTTATTTTGTCAGCCTTTGGTAATGCGATGTAGTTGGCGATTTCTTCAGCAGTGGCATTCTTGGGCTGCTCTTCAGTAGGTTGCTCTATAGATGATTCTTCAAAACATGCCCAAAATAGTTTATGAGTTTCCGAATCGATCTGCTCACTTTCATTGTCTAAACGAGACCTTTTGGATGCCGTTTCTGGATCCGAATCATCATTTTCGTCATCTAAAGAAAGCCTAAGACCTTCTCTGAGCGCAGCTCTACGGATCCGTTCAACTTGGGTAGCGTCAAGGTAAAAGTTCTTGTAGCGGGGGTCTAAAAATGTCGACAAGTAATATGTCTTCCTAAAGCATAGATCGTCCAAGTTAAAACGGGCTTCCATATTTTCTATCAACGCCTTTCTAAAATCATCAACGTGTGCAGTTTGTTGAATCAGCGCATCTTTCATTAGGTATCTGCTTAATGAAACAGTGCTAGGTATCACATCTGATATAGGTGCATATGTGGAACTCGTGATTTTTGTTATCTCTTCGAAAGGTTTTAAGAGCTTTAACAATGTTCTATAACCTCCCACTGATCACTGGTCAAATTTTCAAAATTCACGCTCCTTGATTCTGAAATATACACCGAAATTGCTCTTTTTTGTTCAGGTAGACGCTCCAGTAAGTAATATGTTTAGTTCCAGCGAGTTTGAATATCTTGAATCATTTTATGCTTAGGAAGTCCGAGCTCAGATTGAATACTTTCAAGTTTTGTATATCCTGAATGATTAAAATGTGTCACTATGCGGCGGGCACTAGTAAGGATTTCTTTTATTGTAGAACTGTTATCTAATGCATTATTTAAAAGCTACAGCTGAAGAGTATGTATAAAGCAACGCTCTGAAGGAAGTAGAGTTTCCTTAACTCCTTAAACCATATTCGCCCCATTATCGTGAACAATCGCTTGAATTTGAGTGATGGGTATGTCCCATTTCGTTACACACTGTAACAGTTCTCTTTTGATATTTTCTGATGTGTGTGATTCAGGAAAATGTGCCATGTTTAGAACAGCATGATTCAGTTTAAAGTTTTCTGATATCCAGTGTCCTGTGAAACTCAGAAATGCAGCATTATTTACAGAAGAAGTCCAAAGATCGCTAGTGAATGCTATAGCTTCAGCCCTTTCTAACTCGTTTTTTAGTTTGTTAACCACTCTCTCATACATGTCTGGAATTATTTTCTCGGTGATATATGTCCTGCCAGGAATGGTGTATTGCGGCAAAGCATTATTAATAAGACGTTTAAAGCCCACATGATGATCGACGATGGAAAGTGGCTCGTTGTCAACAGCAATCATTTCACCAATCAAGTAGTGATATCTTTTTGCTCGGCTATCGTTGATGTCCCAGAGCTTTTTTTTTTCAAGTAGTTGTTGCAGTGAATGTTGCACCAAAAGCTGACTGGGCAACTGGGTGGACGAGGAGGTACTTGAAGATGACTCTGCGGGAGCATTATGTTGAGCATGACTACTTGAGCTTCCATAAATTTTACAATACTCATCTGCGATCAAAGAAAAGAACCCTTAATCAGGAACGTAGGTAGCGGCAATTATTTAAGGGGTTATATCCACTTGCGAGGCAGAAAAAACGCGTTTTTTTTGTGATTTTTTTCCAAAGAGGCATTTTATTTTATACATTAATGGAACAAATGTACTTAAACAGAATTTAATGTACCTTAACAATCAGCGGTTTATTTAAAAAAATATTGGATCCCCTAGCTCCTGTAGATGATCTGCGGAGAGACCTCCAAAAAAAAGTGCTTAGCGGTGAGCGAGATATCTCTGGTCCAAATTATCTGAAAAACAAAAACCAAAAATATTTAGTTTTGTAATAAATAAATACAGGTAATGATCGAAGGTCTAGTCAAAATTTTGATTTTTGACAAAATGGCGGCTGTTCAAAAAAAAAATTCAGTTTTTCATGAAAATTTTTCACTTCAAAGTGGCTTAAAAAATCTAAATTATTGTCCAAAACCTTATTCCTTCGATCATTACCTGAAAAATATATCTGAGTAAGTCGTGTGAAAATTTCAAACCGATCGGTTTAGCGGTTTCGGAGAAATTTTCCTCACCGACTCTGAAAACGCGGTTTTGAGATAAACGCGTTTAAAGTTTCGGGAACGATTTACACTAAATTAAAATTATTTTTTTTCAACTTACATCGTGTCATCTATTCCAGCACCATAAGAGGAACCCTCTGCTTCGTCGTTTGCCTCCAAAATGTTTAGTTGTTGTTGTCTACGAGCCATTCTCCCCTCGCGCGTCGACCCTTGCGCTCTTGCGTCCGAAATTGAGATGAGCTCTGCGTCCTCTTTACTCACGTAGGAATGAGCATTGGGTCCAAGTGATAATCCCATAGCACTCATATAATAAAGAAGAGATGTTTTACCTTCATTAAAGACCCCGGCTGCAATGTTTGCAGCTATTTCCACAATTTTAGAGCCAGCTGGAATAATTTTTGGAGTTATTTTCCATATCAGCTGATTATAACTTTCATTATTGTTCTGGGTAAAACCACCAACGCATCGTTCCAATAATTTTTTGTTACTTAGATCTTAGAGAAAAATAGCTGTTGCAACATCAGGTGGTAAGGCCTCATAATCATGTTTATAGCTGGGCAAAGTTCCCAAGGCTCGCGCTTTTTGCCACGAACACCACGAGTTTTCTCCTATAGGACAATTATCATGCTGAGGGTTTTTATCTGTAGAGCAGTTATGGAAATAAGATGCCCAAATGGCTTTATACATACTGTCAACAGAATCACAGTGTCTCCTAATCGCTAAACCATAGTAAACAGTTAATTTATCAATAAGTTTCCCAATCAATTTACCTTTGCCACCAAGCAACTTCTTTTTTTTTCCATTCTTATCTTTCATTTCTTCTACTGTATTATTTACTATGTCTCTTAGCCGTTTGCCCATTCTTTTTTGAACATGCCCAATACATTCTTTCTTCGTTACTTCTGTCTCACCATAAGGAGCAGCCTTCAAAATCCCCGAATAAGTTTTAGAGTCACCATCACCGATGTAGTTTCTAAAACGAACTTGATACTTTTGAACATGAACGTTTGAACATGGCAATAACAGCATCAACTTCCATTTTTCCTGATGACCCGTCGTGGTTAGCTGAGCATACGTCTTTGTGCTCTTTCCACCATTCCTGATATTCAGCAGAATCCTTGTGAGATTTCCTAGGCTCGCATTGCTTACAGTAAGAGCTTTTAAATCAATTATCTTTCCACTGTAGTATCCAATTAGAGATGTAACTCCAAATAGAGAAGTAAATCCCCTTTTTTTCCAAGTGCCATCTCCCGAGACTGTTAAATCACTCTTATGTTCATCACCCTGCTGTTCAGACGTGGCATTCATTTCCTCAACACAAGCTTTTTTTAAAAGTTTATCTGTGACTACTGACACACATTCGTGGATATTTTTAACGATCATATCATATGAAGTTTGGAGCAAAAAAGCTGGCATGTCCATTAGCCCACAAAATTGAGTAGCACCTTTCAAACCTAACCCAAGGGTTCTCATCACAAATATAAATCGTCGATTTATTTCATACGAGTGTTTGACAAAGTTACAAGAGTTTGCACTACGAGGACTAAATTTATCACATAAGATAACAATTTTAAAACCAAGTCCACGTTCTGATGCTGTTTCAAACTTTAGTGGCTCACGGCAAGTTTTACACAATACATACTCACTAATAGCCGTAAACACAGTTATAAAATTTAAAATTCTATATTCAACTGACGTATCGCAAGTTACATATATTTCATCTTGCGCTTTAAATTTTTTTGCTGAGGCGCTGAAACTGCTCTCATCACATTCCACGGTTTTCGGATTAAAAACGTTCTTCCGTTTATTTCTTCGAGACAACTGTTCATTGGAAGTTCTACGAGTTTCTCTGTTAATTTTACGAGGCATTTTTTACTTTAACTAATTAAACTATACACACTGAGAAATACACAAACTGAGCACAAACACAACTTGTCCACGTGGAAGATCACTTCTAACTGATAACAAAAAAAGGTACATTTTGGAATGTTTTATTACACGCATAAATTAAATTACTGTAAAATTAGTGTGACTTCTGTTGCTGCAGGTTAGATGACAAATAATTTATGTTAGGATTGTAAGATGTTATTTTTAGCAAAATGCATGCTGAACTGGATTCATCTGTCAAACGGTTTCTAACCGAGTTTTTAATGTTATTCATCTCTGAAAATAATGACTCGCAGGCATAGGTAGATGAAAACATTGTTAAAATAGCATGAGCCAGCTTCTTCAAACAGTTAAATGTGTCTGGTAACGCATTCCATGTTTCCAGAATTTTGTTATTAGCATTTTTACTTAAATTACTCGTCAATCTTTCAGTTTCAATTAATTCCAACTCTTTCCTTGTTTCAATAAATTTTTGAATCCATATTGAACTAGATTGGAAATCAATTAGCTGCATTTCAAATTCTTCAATTTCCAACCAATCGAATTGAGAAAAGTTCAGTTTATGAAATGACGTCACATCTGGGTACATAATAAACTTGAGTATTTCCGACAATTCTTTGAACTGAGAAAATCTCTCTGAAAATTCCTTGATTAATGAATCAATCGCAGAAATAAATTCTTCAGTAAATTTTTCTCTGTCTGCTGTCTCGTGAATATCAAAATCATTGATATATTTTTTCAAGTTTGGAAAATACTTGTAGTTTCTTGTGATAATATCGTTCTTGAAAACTTGCAGTTTAGCCTCAAAAGCGCGAATGAGATCTATCATGACAATAATTGTTTTGTTTGTCCCTTGAAACTTTACGTTTAGTGTATTTAAATGTTGGCATATGTCTGTAAAAAACATCAATTTTGAAAGCCACATAACGTCCAACAACTGTAGGTATTGTTCAATTTTTCCCTCATTTCGCAAAAATAGTCTGATTTCTTCCAAGCAATCAACAACTCTTTCAAGTACATTCCCGCGACTCAACCAGCGAACATTATTATACATCAGTAAGCCATTATACACCGAGTTGACTTCCCTTTGTAGTTGTTAGCAACGATTTTATCGCAATTAATTCTTCCTTAATGACGTTTCCTACGCAATACCGAGCAAAAACAGCTAAACGTGCAGATTTAGTGACGTCAGTGCTTTCGTCAAGACATAGCGATATAAAAGAAGCATCGTTAATGTCAATTTTTTGTTGATCTGTTATATTTTCGGCCAGTTTTAAGATTCTTTCTTTTATTGTGTTTCTCGATAGAGGAGTCTCTTTGATGCGCTGAATTATCTTATCTTTATCATCGAAATCATCAAAAAGGGAGGGCGCGCATGCTAACCAGGCTTCCTTCAAAAACTCTCCCTCTTGAAAAGGTTTACTATGCCGAGCAATGACATTTGCAGCTGCGTTACTTGCCGCGCTCGTATGACAATTGTTGCCAACAAATTTAATCATAGATGTTGACTGTTTATTTCTGTCATTCAATGCACTTGCAATTAATTCTTTTTGCTCTGCTTCGCTTTTTTGACTAACAGATTTGTGATTTGTTTCAAAATGTCGTTTAACAGACGATGTTCTACATACCACTGTTCCAGAACATAAAACACACACCGCTTTGTCACCTTTACTAATCATGCCGTATTTCTCAGTCCACCAAGTTTGAAATTCTCTGATACACTTACTATCTTGCACTTTTTGTTTTTTTGCTGAACTGGCCATATTAAATATTAGTTTAAAATCATAAAAATCACTCGTATAAATTTTAAAATAAAAATAAAAACTCACTATTACTTCATGCGTAAACAAACAATGCGTCATTCGCAATTGAAACCCACGACCTATAAAAACAAACGAGCGCCGCGCAGCGCTTCCTGCCTGCCACCGCGCCGCCCACACTCCGCGCACCGAACACTCCGTAGCGTAGGATCACTCGCGTTCGATTGTCATAAAATACTAAACACATTTTTTACACATGTTTTATGATCGGCGACGTGCCCAAAATATTGTGTCGCGTGCCATCAATGGCACGCGTGCCATTGGTTCGCCTACCCTGAACTAGACCTTTTGTATTATTATCTTAGGGTCCCAAACACAATATAAGTCGAGAACAAAAGGATAGAAGCTACCAGAAACAGCTGCTACTCCGGCTCGTGCTCCGCCTACTTTCGAACGCTCGGAGACGTTCTTACTAATACGCTCATATTTCCGAAACTAATTGTCGGATCGATTTGAAATTTTCAGAGAATATTCTTGAATATATGTACATTCAAAAAATGAAAATCACAAGTGTATATAACCCCTTAAATAATGTGCTATAAAACTCAAAATAGTACTAATGAAAATAACTTTTGAAACAAAAATTATATTCTTACTAAATTCTATAGACCGTCACATTCAGTTCTTTTTTCGATTTCCTTCTGAAGTGAATCTATCTGATCTTGAAGTTTTTTATGTTAAGTTTTTCCGGAATTCTTCATGATCATAAACAACTCTCGTCTTGTCATAAATAAGGTATTCGAGTCCGTACCTGTGTAAAAAAGTAACAAAATATGCAATTGAACAGTAAGAATACTTTTATTACAGCGACAAAACTCGTTTACAATGTCATTTTATTTCAAATGGCGCAAACATGTGCAAAAAACTAAAATACAATCGTAACAATAACAGTTGGTACTAAAAAAAATCGGCATGTAAGCCCGATCGGTTCCGGAACATAACTAAGTTCCTAGTTGTTTTATCATTTTTTAAATTCTATTTACATTTTTGGTGCAACCATTGACTCACAATTTCACCCATCAAAACAAATATCTAAATATAAATATAATGCCAAATAATACAATACATACTTGAACATGACGCTGCCATAGCCACTTTTGGGGTTTCAATCACCACTATTTAAAAAACCTGAGTACACTTCAATGTTGCGCTGACGCACAAATCTCAAGTAGACGCTCCACGAGTGATCGACTGAGACTGAGGGGCGTGGTGGAGAACGGGTCGAGGGAATCGTGTTCGTTTACCTGCGATCTTATGCCACAGCTAATGAACTGTCCGCAACACACACAGGCGACGTGATGAAGCAAAATTTTTTGTTACTATTTATTCTATCGATTTTAGCAAACAAACACAACAGATTCACCGCTGAAAACCAAATTGGGCTGTGGTCGACCCACAATTATATCAGCACTGTTGTGTTTGTTTGCCACTGCATCGGTGGGCGAACGTCTCCTGCGAACACTCGGCCGGAGGCCGGGGAGCAAAGGAATCGGTTCCGTGCAGGCAGCAACAGCTTCGTCAGGCTTCGTGAGTCTTCGGGAGCCGCGGAGGTGTTGCTTCGTCGACGTCCGAGCGAATCCTCGCGTGTCGTAGCCACTGAACATATATACCCCTAAAGGGGAAGAATAACGACTCCATACTATTTTTATGAGGAAATTTTTCCTTACCGGCCGGCGCCATCTATGCTCCGCCCACCAAAACTAGACAGTAGAAGCTAGGGCGGGAATTTCAAAATAGTGGGTTTACAGATACTTTGTATTGCATTTTATGCACAAGTACAGTGCGTTTCTCGATAGTGTTCTTCAAGATGGTCAATTATTGCTCAGCAATAACATAAAATAAAAAACTATATATAACATATATAACATAAAATAAAATAAAAAACAGCATAAAATGCTGAAAGCAATATTTATGGAACAGTGTAATAAAAGAAACATTAGTATTTGACTTTTTTATTTAGCATAATATTAATTATAATTTATCAGATATTCATATTATAAGCAACTATATACTAATTTTACATGAATAAATGTGTTTTTGGATTATATATTCATTTGGGACAAAAGGTGTTCACAAGTATGTGTATGTAATTTTTTTTGCGTGTGTTGTGGCCACCCTCTGATGTCAGAGCTTATTAAGTCGCCTCTGGGAATCCCACAGGCCTCTGACATGGCGTGTATGTAATGATAATTAATCACAAAATTTGTCGGTTAATCTAAACACAAATTAAACATAATATTCTAAAAATGAGATAATACATACAATTTGAAAATACAGCAAGCATCTTCGACCATATGGTCTATTGCATACAATTTTAACATCAAAAACCTAGACAAGTCAAACACAAGTTTACACTTTAAAGACATATATCATAATATTATATAATATGTATTATTTCAGTTTAATGAAATAAATAAAGAAATGGTTGGCAAGAGAGGAGATACTTATTATTTTTGTTGAAGGCAGACAGATCTGACCAATTTAGCTACACTATCGTCCATTAATAAAACAAGTTGTAAAATAATAAATAAAGCATAATCAGCCTATAATGTTCCCACTGCTGGGACACACGCCTCCTCTCTGTGAAAGGGAGTGGGCTATAAACCACCAAGCGGGCCCAGTGCGGGTCAATCTGCACTTAAAAGAAAATGAACATAGTGAATTCATATAAAATTACTTGTCCTGAGTAACTGACTGCTCATCAACGCAGAACAGAAGGTTCATTTTTTAACACACATGAAAACATTTTTGGAAATTCTATCTCTAAAGGGAAAATAGGGGATAGAAGAGAAGTTTGCATGAAAGTCCGTCACTTATTAAGTAAAATCAATGAAAATTGGTAGGGTAGACCGAGGCGAATCGGATCACTTTTTCTTTGAGGTTAAGTAAATCATGCTAAAGTGTTATAAAATGTTATTTTTATTGTTGAAAACGAAAGAAGTAACAATCAGCTATGAAATAAACATTGGAAAACTTAAATCACACATATATTCGCTTCATTAGCTCTTAAAAACTGAAAAAAGAAAAATATCCGAATCGCCCCAATTTTTGGGGTGAATCGGATCGTACACAACATGTAACAACATTTTAAGTTTCTTAACAATATAGCTTTGGAATCAGTAAAAAATTAATAATGAGATCAATTTTAATTATTGGCACTGAATGCACATATATATGGTCCTTTTTCCCCCCCATATTAGCACATTTTTCGTGGCACCATTCTTCGCAGGCATTGCACTGAATCCAATCCTCTGATGGTGGATGAACGAATATTTCGGAACAGTAAATGCAGTGCCACTCTCTCTGTTTTGCAGATGAACTTTTAATATTTATCGCAGGCTTTGCTTTATTTTTCATCTTTTTCATTGTATTTTCTTTGCCCACAGCCTTTTTCTTGTTTTCCTTGGTTTTATTGTCTACCTTAAATTTCTTCTTTGTTTCTTTTTCGAGAAGAGTAGTCTTACTCTGAGGTGATGTTAAATGCAAGACCAGTTTTGAAACTTTACGAATTCTTTAAGAAGCAATTGGTGACTTTAAAGGTGATGGAAGAATTTCTTTAATTATATCTGCACAGGTGGAAGGCTGGGCTTTGTCAGAATGTTGCGAACTTGTGGATAGCACTATATTATCGAGTGGTTTTGTATTTGTAGCTTGAACTTTGACCTTTATTTTTGACTGCACTTGTTCTTCACTTGAGGATTGGACTTGGGGCACTCGACACTCTCTCTGTTTTGCTGATGAACTCTTAATTTTAATCCCAGACGTTGCTTTATTCTTCATCTTCTTCATGAAGAAAGCTTCATCTGCACAGGTGGAAGAATGGGCTTTGTCAGACTGTCGTGAACTTGCAGATGACACTGTATCAGCCACTGGTTGTGTATTTGTGGCTTGCACTTGTAGCTGCATTTGTTGGGAACTTGAGGACTGGACTTGGGACTCTACAATATCCGATTCTTGATCACCGATGAACTTGTGGTCAGGTATTGCATTGGCGTTTAGTGGAAATATTCCAGTCTTTTCGAAGCCTTTTGTAGCATTCCCAACAGTGGCAGCCTGATTCCAAGCCTGTTGGAAAAGTGCTCCGAAAGCGACTTTTGTGATTCCTTGATTCGGATGTGAATGTTGCCATGATGTAGCTTTTTGGTGATAATAGGTTTTGAGCGGTTTGAAAAACGATACATCAAGTGGTTGCAGGGCATGTGATGTGTGTGGAGGAAGAAGTACAAGTTCAATTTCGAAAGAGTCACACAAGTCTACCACTGAGTAGCTGGTGTGAGACGCGTGCCCATCTAAAATTAGAACTACTTTTCCTGGGGTCCGGTAGCGATTGAAATGTTGCAGCCACAACTTAAAAGCTTCTTCGGTGACCCAGCCTTTTTCTGTCATGGCAACTTCAGTACCAGGTGGCATACCTAGAAGAAAATCGTCACGTTTACGCACACCTTTGAATAGAACAAATGGAGGTATGTACTGTCCTGCTGCATTCATACAGGCTAGAACGGTTACATTTTCACCTCGTTCAACACTGGTCATGCTGACAACATCTTTAGCACCTTTTTGGGCTATAATGTTGGGTGGGCGGTTACTAAGCGGCATCCCCGTTTCATCAACATTGTATACACATTCAGGTCTTCTTCTTAAATTGTTGATATCTACTACTGTTTTCAAAGTATTAAAGAATTCTGTCACTTTTTCCTTCTTCATACCATCAATCCTTGCTCTTGACAGACCCTCCGGCTTCCGAATAGTTAATTTTTTATTTCTTTGCATGAAGCGATGAAACCAGTCCTGGCCAGCCATTCCAGCATTTCTGTCAAATTTGTGTTCCATGTTTTGACGTTCTGCAAATTCAAACGCGTACTTACGTACCGCTTTGGGTGTAATTCCGAAGCCACGACTTGCCAAGTGCAACAGCCGGTCAGCTAACTTCTTTTCTGCGTTCT